CTCGGGTTGCCTTTACATGCCAGTCCTGCTCACGGTCGTATATTGACCATCAAAAGGCTGATATAATTCGTCCCATCCGAGGAAACCTCCAGTTGAGATGAGCGTAAAACTGCCTAAGCGAATTTCGAACGGCAGAGGGAGACGAAATATAACATTGAAGGTCCATGGTGTGTGCGTTATCTGCCTAATGACGAGTCGCAGCCGGGGGGCTGGCCTGCTCTGATGCAGTCAAAGTGCCTGAGCGAATTTCGAACGGCAGAGGGGAGGTAAAAGCTAATCAGACTCTGAAGTCCATGGTGCGAGCGTGATCGGCCGGTGACGGGTCGCGGCCGGGGGGCTGACCAGTCTCACTCACCTCATCCTGGCGGGGCGGCGCGCCGCCGCACAGACGGCCTCCCCCGCGGCGGCTAGCGGCGACAGTGCCACATTCCTGGCCTCACATCCCAATACGGCCGGCAATTCACCGCGGCGCCAGTTGCCATGGTGAGCAGACACAGCACAGGCGCTGATTGGCAAATAGCCGGCGGGACGCCGCCCCGAGCGCCGCCGCCGGGTCGCCCGGGCAACGACAGGTCGCTCTCACCGGCACGATCAATAGCCCAGCGCGGAGAGAGCACGAGAGAGGGAGGGAGAGAGGCGAGGAGGATCGCTAATCCTGCCAGAGAAACGTTCGGTGACATGTTGTCTCCCTCCCGCTGATCACTCCTAATGGCGAAAGCCGTATCGTGTCGACTTATCAGCGACCACGCCGTTCCGGGCACGACGGTTTGCAACGGATCTGGATGACGAGCTTGCAAATGGATTCAAGTCTTGATTGACGCGAAACTCCAATAAATAGTTTGTTGTGCAATTAATCTGTTGCGGAATTTCCAGTATTTGTTAGCGATGCACAACTCGTCACAATGTCTCATGACGAAGCTGTGAAACATTGTCTACAAGGCAGCAGCTTTTAGTTTAAATCTATTTTAAGATTAATGTTCTCGTCACCATCTCGACTCCTTCCCTCACGTACCAATAGAACCATTCCCTCACTCACCGACCGGTGCCTCATCTCTTTCTCTCGCTGCTCACCCCTTTCCGACGCCCTCTCACCCCCTTTTCCGACTCACGCCCCGGTACTTTTCTCGCCCAACTCTTCCCTTTTCCGGCTTACGCTCCGTCCTCTTTCTCGCCCCCTATTTGTACTCAGTACTCACCCCTTTTCCGACGCCGGCCTCAGTGATGGTTACACCGAGCTCGTTGTTTAGGGTGCCACGAAGACTTCCTGCAATGGAGGGCTTCCGTCAGAAGGGTGCAGTTATGCTCGTGCATCACCCTGTCGCCTAGCCCAGGCACGCCAGAGCAAACTCAGTGGGCGATGGGCAGTATCGGCTCATGCAGGCATGTAAGCTGCAATTTATGCACCATGGACATAATATGCATAACGTTGAACACAAGTTTGGTCCAGTTTTTGCAACTTCTGTTAAGCACAGTTTGACAAAGTAAATGTTATGCCATTGTCCATGACTCATGAGCTGCCATGTGCATTGATGTAAATTGAGGTTCATGTGCATTTTCTGCCAAGGTTGGGATTGCGGAACAAAGTTCACCTTAGCCAAATCTCTTGACTGAGCGGGTAGGTGCCAGATGACACGGTGGCGTGATCTTACCTATTCGACTGGCTACAGCTGCGGCGTTCAGTTCGAGCTTGTTGGGCTTCACCTTAAACCAAACCTGGTTCTTTTCCGCCCTGGGGAATAAAAAATACTTCATTGCCAACTGGAGACAATGATTTTCAAATTTCAGGTCATGGATAATCTGCACACCGGGTTACGAGATTAGAGATACTTTGTTACAGATGCCTTCTTGTTACAAAGAGATACAATGGAAAGAGATAGCTAGTATTTACAATTTACATATTAAGACCTAAGTCACAGGCTTGTTTGTGTTTATATGCTTATGTGGGTGCTCCTTGATAAAGCTCTCGCAGACGTACTAATGGGCAATGACCATTCCTATTTCCTCTCCGTCATTATTTTACATATAACATAATCTTATTGCATTTCTCGAAGGAAGCCCTATGAGACGACAACTCCTAATAGCTAGCGAATTGTGTTGTAAGATGCGAAATGTCAACGTTTCATCGCTGGAAGCCGAGCGGAACGCCTCAGATTCATCCCTAAAGGTACTTTATGCTAGTCGAGTTTTAAGTACCCGATATTGTCGAAGGTGTTGACGGGTAGGAACAGATCCTTTTCCAGCTGTTTCACGAGTCGCGTGGCTTCATTGCCATCCTCGAACCTGTCGGAGGAGACCGTCAGATGAGAAAGCCAGGGAATCACGCTACTACCTCTATCCATGAGTTCAGGGACTCTGCAGCATCTCGTCAGCACGCACTGGGTGGATCGTAGCCTTCTTTGATCTTAGGAGCTCTCTGTTGAGAAGAGCTGCAACAAGCACCGGTAACCAATTGGGACCAATTGGTTCCCAATTGCGTTCCCTCTATCCTAGCTCTCCGACAGGCCCTAGCTCGCCCCTCGACCGTAGACCTCCGACAGGTCCTCCCCTTCCAACCTGAGCCCGCTGACACCCCCTGTCCCCTGCGCTCACCTGTTCTGGACCTCCATGTAGACGTAGTCGAGATCGGTGTCGACTTGGGGCCCCGGCGAGCGATCGAGGCTGCGCGACTTTTTGGCGGGCTGGCCGGCCTCCTGCGGGTGGTTCGGCACTTGGTCAGAGGCTCTAACGTAACGGGGCGGTGTGACGGCGGCAGATCAGCCGCGTTTGGACAGCAGCGGCTCTGTGGGGCGGGTGTGGGGCGGCGGGAGGACCCACCTGGGACTGCTGGGAGGGCGGCGCGCCGCTCGGCGTGGTCTCCGGGCTCGGGTTGACGTCCTCTGCCACCCTGTCCACTCGCCGCGACTCGCTGTCCACCGAGAAGGCGTCCTCTGAAAGCCGCAGACAGGGGCGTCATGGAATATGCCTAACCGAAGTAATGTCAATGCTCTGATGTTTATATAAGCAAGTACCTACTCATGCTGCCTTTTATAATATTTCTAAATGAATTGTACGTACAGTATAATTTCAAGTGTTTGGATGCCATTGACCTTTTGCTATCAGAATATACAACGGGCAAGTATGACTGGCTGGCGTTGATACATTTCCTACTTATAGCTGCGTCCACTGGCGGTCGCAGCCGCTAGCAAAAGGGGGGGCCAAAGTCACACTCGCGGGACATAACATTTATCCGTCACCGGGAGGGGGGGGGGGGGGGTGATCGGCTAATTTTTTACGTCCACGAGGTGCCGCGCAGTTGGCATTACTTATGCTTCATCCATCTGATTCTTGCGTGAAATTTTTAAGCTCAATTTAAGGCAAAATCACCAGTTCCATTTCCCGTCCCACGGTGCTTCCACCGGTCGGCCCACTGCACCATGACGACGGATCGGTGTAGCATAGGTATACTGGAAGGTCAGGCACGCGGATTCATGACCTTACCACTATAAAACAATTCGGAAAAGTACAGATACCTCTTGCTTTGAACAAGCATGTGAAACCCAGAGAGCATTTTCAGACTATGACATTTACTCATATAGGTAACATACCTACAGGGTGAGCCATAAAGATTTACCCATCGATAAATTCACTTTATTTCCAAACGGGTTGGCGTAGGTATGCCATCTTTTGCATATATGTCGCAAATTTGTCTCCAATCTTGACAGTGTAGCTCATTTTGTATATGCTCGTCCACTGCCTCTGCTACGCTCCTGAAATGCGAGGTCGTCTTAACGCACATCCGCCGCTCCTAAAATTCAGGAATCACCACTGGGTGTGGGCTGCTGAACACTCCTTGGTCTAAAGAATGCTGGGCACAATTTATCCCCGACTTCAGCCCCACGGCCTTCGCAAACTGAAATATCCTGAAAACCCGACTCTACCGAGTCCCTGAAACACCGCAAATGACATACGGCGCAGCATTGTTATAGCATGGGTGATCGAGGAAAATAAGTGAAAAGACGGTGCGGTGGCCGCGTGCCATAGTGCTCTCGCGTCTCGGGCGCGTAACATAGAAGAATGCCAGCATACAGAAAACAGACTACATTTATTAGTTAGAAGATGACGTTGTTATATGCATGTAAAAGATCACATAGCTATGTCAGCGCGCCTTGAAACAAAGTTAAGTTTTCGATGGGTAAATCTTTATGGCTCACCCTGTAGTTGTGTGGCGGCGGGAGAGAGTAGGTACACCGACCGACCTCTGGAGACCCCCCACAGGTTCCGAGCTTTCAAAATTGGCATCTGAGGGCCGCGCGCGACTCCTGCGGGGCTTCGCAGCGGCTCTATTGGGGCTCAATCAACCTGCCTAGTCTTACTGCTAAAAAGACTGGCCCTGAGCCCTAAGGACTTCATCAGTCTCTGCCAGCCCCAGGACCCACACCGGCTCATGGGGTCCCGACGTCGAAATATGAGGGAATCTGCGCCGGACCATCAGGACGCAAAGTAATCTCGATCAGGACCAACGTAAGGCTGTGCCGGAGACAGCGTGAGCCCTCTGATCTTCAGAAACCCACCCATATATGTTTTCACGTAGAGGCCAGTTTAGGGCCCTCAGAGACCAGTACAGGGCCTGCAAACTACAAAGGCCAGTAGTTTGAGACAATCAGTGACCGAGTTGGGCTCTCAGAGGCTAATGTGGGTTATTACAGGCCAACATGGGCCCTCAGAGGTCAGCGTGGGGCCCTAAAAGACCGGCATGAGCCGTCGTTGGACCCCAGAGGCCAGCAGAGGGCCCTCAAAGGCCAAGATGGGCCCTCCTCAAATGCCAATGCAGGCCCTTAGAGGCCGGCATCGGGTCTTCAGCAGCCAGTGCGGGGCCCTCATTGGCACCTTAAGGTTCGTCTTGGGACACCACAGACAGAAATAAGGCCACCAGAGACCGGTGTGAGACCCTCAGACGCCGGTTGGGACCCCTGAGGCCTGTTAGGGGCCCTCATAGGCCAGATGTGGGGTCTCAGAACTCACCTGTTGAACTCACCTGTTAGGTTTCCTTGCTCATTGCCCAGATGGTGGTAGGGTTATTAGAGACAGGAAACCGTGTCGAAGAGAGACGTGCCAACCCGGACAATAGATAAGCAGGACATTCAGAACTGGACTGTGCAATTGTTAAGGGTTGGAATGGTACGTCTGCTTGGGTGTAGTTGTTGCTGATGGAGGTAGTCTTTGTGCAATTTGCAACAACAAAAGAAGTGTTGACTAAGATGTGCGATGAAGTGAGTAACATATAGAGAATGAGATGGATCAGAATGGATAGACAAGATAGTGAGGATTTGGGGAGGGAATTAGGAACAAGGGCGGGGATGGGAGTCCCTGGCGCGTATAACCCCACTCTTGCTTGATAAGAGGGGGCGCCTACCAGGGACAGGCAGGATTGATTGGGTGTGTTTCTTTTTCAGCTACTGGAGATAATCAAATAGTCGACTTCCGAGACAGGTTCCCAAGGCAGACTTGAACTCCTTCAGTGTCTTGGATGTGACCACCCAGGTCGGCAGGGAGTTCCAGTCTTGGACGACACGCTGGGAGAAGAAGCGGGCTCTGGCGTCAACTTGACTGCGGCTCACTCGGATTTTGAACGGATGACCTCTTGTACGAGTGTCACGGGAGATATCCCATAGATCTGCAGGTTGTATTGGACAGTTTCCGTTGAAGATTTTCCAGCATTTGATCAGGTCAGCCCTCAGTAGTCGTCCCTTTATGGAGTAAAGGTCGAGCGTTCGTAGCCTGTCCCCATACTCTTTGCCTTCAAGTCCCTTTATCTGGCGGGTCCATAGCCTTTGCACTGATTCCAGCCTTTTCCTGTCCTGGACATATCCAGTGTTCCAGACAGGCGACGCATATTCCAGAATAGGCCTGATGTGCGTTTTAAGTATGTGTATCATAAATTCAGGTTCTCTACATACTGTGCCTTTCAGGAGGTTGTGGGCTACGCCGCCGGCTTTCCTTGTCACTGTTCTGCTGTGTTCATGAAACTTCAGTTGGTCGTCAACGAGTATTCCAAGATCAACCTGGGCGACTGAATCGGGAAGTTGACGTCCATCGAGGGTATAGCTGGGTCTATCCAAGATGTGTGAGCGTCTCTTGAAACAAAGAGTGACACACTTCTTTGAATTCATGTGTAATCCCCATGACTTGGCGGTTGCGTGGAGAAGGTTGATATCAGATTGCAGACTTGCAGTGTCACGGCCGATGTTCGAACTATCAATGCATGTGTATATTTTGAGATCGTCTGCGAATATCTTGTAGTGGCATTTAAGGTTTGTCGCGATGTGGTTAATATATATTAGAAAAAGAACTGGGCCGAGGACTGACCCTTGGGGTACACCACTTTTGACGTATCTTGGTGCGCTGTACGCATCTTTGACGACCACTTGCATCGATCTGTCACATAGAAATTCTTTGAGCCACCTTAGAAGGTCTCCCCCGATGCCTATGTGCCCAAGCTTGTCTAGCAGAATATGGTGACAGACAACGTCGAATGCTTTTGCAAAGTCGAAGAGGATAAGATCAACTATTTTCCCTTTGTCGATCTCACTTGATATATACTCGTAAGTGGACAGAAGCTGGTCCTCCGTAGACATCCCTGGTCGAAAACCAAATTGGTGATCGATGAAGATGTTGTTTTCATTGAGGAAGATGTTCAAACCATTAGAGATCAGTCTTTCCAGGCATTTTGCGGGGACTGATGGCAAACAGATCGGCCGGTAGTTCAAGGGATCGACGTGAGACCCCTTCTTGAAGATTGGTACCACGATCGATAGCTTCCAGAGTGAGGGGAGTGATCCTTCTTCCAGTGAGAGATGAAATATCCTGGATAGAGGGCGAGCCAGGTGAGCTGCACACTCTTTCAGAAAACGGGGATGAAGACCGTCTGGGCCCATAGCAGAATTCACGTCGAGATCCATCAGCACCTTCTTCACCTCCGCAGAGTCGAAATCGACGGATTCAAGTGCTCCATCACACTGTTGGTGAGGTGCTGGGTGTGACGGCACTTCAGGTCGATACACACTGGCGAAAGCTTCGGCAAAACATTCTGCCATCTCAGTTGGACTGTCAGTTGTGGTGCTGTCAGGAAGTCGAATTGGTCCTACTGAGGAGCGGAACTTCTTCTTGCTGCGGAGGTGAGCATGTAGTAGCTTTGGGTTCTCCTTCATCTTCAGAAGTAGCGACTTTTCATATTCCACTTGCGAGTAGAAAGTGAAGAGGTGAAGCTCCTTATTGATTCGCATAAATGAAGAGAGGAGATCTTGAGTGATGTGCGATTTACGACCATGTAGAGATCTAGCACGCTTGTATTGTTGCCATGCCCTGGTACGTCTCGTCTTGAGAGATGTCGGAGGATTAGTCTTCCAGGGGACTTTGCTCTTTGGTTTGTTGCGATTAGAAATGGGGATATATTGGCGTATCAGTGGCTGTAGGACTTGAAGGAGCCTGTTGAAGGCCTCTTCTGCGTTCAGGTGCGCAAGTTCAACATCCCAATCCACCTCGCTGAGGACGTTGTTGATATTATTGTATTGTCCTTTGTGCCAGAGTATGTGACCAGGTGCGTGTGATGATGAGCAAATTTCTTTGTCGAATGTGTACTGACAGTGGATACTGCAGTGGTCACAGCCAGGTGGTGGGGGCCTCACCTCTACTTCATTTATCCTGTCTGATTCTGTTGTCAAAATCAAGTCCAGTATGTTCCCTGATCGTGGAAATGTTGCCTCATGGATCCACTGGGTGAGTCCAAGTGTGTCAAACAAGTCCAAAAACTTCGAGTCTGATGAAGAGATGGGCTTCATAGAATCAAGTGACCAAGTGATGGTCGGTAGATTCAAATCTCCAATGAGAATGAGTTCTTTGCCAGTACATATTTGACGCAGGAATGCCATTAGCATGTCATTCTGTTCCGGTGAGTTCGAGGGTGGCCTGTATACTGCAACCACATGCAATTCCAGGGCGGACAGATGAAATATGATGACATTGGGGTAAGATGAATCAACATCCTCAACTTGAAGTCTTTCAGAGATGTATGCGCAAACACCATGTATACTTGAGCCCCCACTATCATTGCGCAGAAGTGAATAACCAGGTATTCTTACAACAGCATCTCCAACGTCTGGAGTTAGGTGAGTTTCTGATATTAGCAGTATGTCAGTGGTGTCATGCATATTGAGGATGTGTTGAAGAACGTTTAACTTGGTGCACAGGCCATTTACATTACAATGTGCAAAGTTTAAAACTTGAGTGTGGCTAGTTTGGCCATGCCATCTCAGTTTCCCGAGTTCCTGGGTGGGCTGTTACTTCGAGGGGGGTCTGGCTGAGTGGGAGCCGCTTGAAAGGCTGGAGCTTCAGTGGCCGTGATCCCTTGGTCCCTTGGTGGACGGGGAGGGGGGCCTGTTTCGAGCTGTTTTGGAACAGTTTCTTCTGTACTTGAGTGCTCACCAGGTGTCTCTGATGGCTCAGTATCTGGTTGGTGTTGAGCGTTGGGCATGTTTGACACTGTTGTTGTACCACCAGCTGTTGGATGTTGGGCTTGGCGGGGTGCTGTCTGGTGCCACTCACTCTGCTGTGGCCGAGTTGCCAGCCTTTGTTGAAGCTCTTGACGCTGGGTATAGGTCAGATCTTTTCGGATGAATACATGTGAGTAAGAGGTGTACTTGAGTTCTCGTGCGTGTTCAAGTAACAGATTTCTTTGTCTGACGTTGTGGACGTTTCCCCGGTATAGATCTGCATCATTCTTGATTTGACATGCCTCAGAAAGCACAACTTTCTCACCTATCAGAAGCTCTGATATTTCGCCAAACTTGGCGGCTGCCTCAGCTGCAGTCTTAGCCCTGAGGCCCCTAATGACCAGAGAGTTTTGACGTTTCTTGCGTTCTTCTAGTTCTCGAAGCTCTTCACGAACGACTCTACGGTAGTTATCTGTTGCTTGCTGAATCATCTGAGGTGCACCCTGGGAAGGGTAGCTACTATGTGTTTGTGGGGGGTGAGGTTGCAAGTGGGGCCCCCTTAGTTTCTCTGCATATGTTGGGCCATCTCTTGCAGAGAGTGTTTGCTTCTCAGATGGGGGCAGGCTTCCTTGATCTGCAGCAGTGCCTGCTGTCAAATGATTTTTCACTGCCAGTTCAAGGTTGTCCACCTTCTTAATTAGTTCAGTTAGAAGGTCATTGTTTGCTGGCTGGAGTTGGTCCTGACAATTCTCTGTTTGCATAGCTGACTCACTCATGCAAGACCTGGGCTGAAGTTTGCCGAGATTTGGAAGTTTTCGGCATGAGTCACAGATAAATGACAGTACATCATATCTTTTCAGTGCATTGTAGGCGGCTTTGGCTATATCTTGGCAAAATGCATGAAACCAGTTTCCACAAAGATCGCATTGGACCCCTTGCTGGGAGTCTTTCACTTCCAGGTGGCACGTCAAGTTGCCTGGTCCGCCTGGACAGATGGAGGGGTTGAGATTGCCCCCATGGTTAGCTCGTACAACCGTAGGAGAAACACTGGTGCCAACATCAAGGGGTAGGAGGCCAATTGTATTAGCCACCGTACTCACATGATCCGGGGACGGATTCTGGTTTGTTGGAGTTTTACCATTTGGGCGGGACCTTGGTGGTGTTCTGTTTAGTGGCATTTTGTGAGTAATGCAGGCTGTGCAGGCATGCAAGGTGCAGACAGGACCACGACAGGGAGACAGACAGGACCCAGTGCTCAGCGGCAGAGCAAGTACTCCCTGAACAGGCACAGAAGCTTTGCAGAAGCTGATGAAGACCCAGAGACAGCTTTGCAGGGTCACTTGTTTGACCTTGTGTGACGTGCAGACTCATGCACTTCATGCAGCATGCATCAGAGCAATATTTACAGCAAGTTGAAGAGCAACTGATTTTACTCTACGTGTCTTGATTGCCAATCCTTAATAGCTTCTTCCGTATTGAGTTCCTCCGTTATTAATGGATGCTAGGAGCTATTAGTCTTGTCCCCAGTCTTCGACCGCAACAACAGAGGTTGATGTAGGCTCTTAGCGGTCAACGTGGGCACTTGACCGCCACTGAAGTTCCCTCAGAGGTCAGTGTAGGACGCTCAAAGACCGGTGTGGGAGCTATATTAATAGCTGGGCGTGGTTTTTTTTTTTAGCTTCGTGACGATCGAATAATTGCCAGGGCCCCATACACCTATATGGGGGCCCATTGGTTGTTTGAGGGGGGGGGGGGCAAATGATATGATGGCCCCCTTTATTGACCTTGGGGGGGGCATGGCCCTGATGCCCCCCCCCCCCCGCGACCGCCACTGTGTACACATTACACACATGCCTCTGAGATTACATACTAGCTCATGCAAACTCTATGCAGGTCCCGGAGTTCCCACGCTAATCCTTAAGAAACCAAGCCGGCATACGGCGTCACTACCGGGCTTCTGAGGTGCACAGCACCAACCCATGAGGTCTTACTTTAGTGTCTTAGAGCCAATCTCCTTTAGCAGGGCCCACCCACCACTGCCGAAGAGGGTCTCATGCCAGCCATTGCTGGACCTACGAGAGCCTCAAGTAAATCCACGCTGATATTCCATATAAGATCCGGCCATACTCGTGAACCGGTGCCAGCGACGCTGACCACCAAATTGACAGAATGCGAAACTGAGCCCTCATGAGTGAAATTTACGTCCTTTGATGGCGCAAGAAAGAAAATGAAACATACGAAAAGCTTTTCTAGGACTTTTGTTCGATCTGAAAGGTGGGGC